GTCCCAAGTATTGACCTTTATGAGTATGGCATACTCTAGCCCACTTAAGTTTTCCTTTCAGACGTTTTGAGAGGTCTAAAAGCCTAAAAATATGATTTTCGCTCCTAGTTCTTCCTCATGCATGAGTTTGGTTGTCTTATTGGGTTAAGAGGTTAGGGTTTTTAGTATTTAGCACTTGATGGCCATGCAAGACCATAAAGTTTGGAAAGTTTATAGTCAAGGACAATATTTGGGGCATGTATCTATAATTTGAACGTAAGGGCTTAAGTATTAAGCACTTAATAAGTTGGGAAAGGATCCAGTCGTGTACACTAGGGGTACCAAGTGGTACACTACACGTACGTGGTCAAGCCCTCGCACATGGTCAACGTTTGAGTATGCCCTGCATACCGGTTAAGCACGCCCAACGTACTCGACTGAGTCAACCCAATGGACTTTTTGACTTTTGGATTTGACTTGAGTTTGACCAATTTTAACCAAAGGGTATTTTTGGTATTTTGATATTAAATTTAAGTTGGGCAATGATTTGAATATTAGGTGACGTGTAGATCTGGTAGTCAAAGCAAAGATTTATTTAGCTTTTGTTCAGACTGAGATGTGAGTTTTCCTCATTGTACTTGTAGGTCGAAAGCACCAATGCCGGCCACAATTTTTTTTGGAAGAGTCGAATTAGGATTTTAAGGAATCAAAGGCATGGTTTTTGAGTAAAACCAAGGCTTGATGGCCATGCAAGACCATAAAGTTGGAAACTTTATTGTCAAGGACAACATTTGGGGTATGGATCTATAATTTGGATGTAAGGGCTTAAGTATTAAGCACTTAATAAGTTGGGAAAGGATCCAGTCGCATACGTTGGGGGTACCACGTGGTACACTGCACATATGTGGTCAAGCCCTCGTACCTGGTCAACGTCTGAGTACGCCCCACATACAGGTTAAGTACGCCCAATGTACTTGACTGAGTCAACCTAGTGGACTTTTTGACTTTTGGTTTTGACTTGAGTTTGACCAATTTTAACCAAAGGGTATTTTTGGTATTTTGATATTAAATTTAAGTTGGGCAATGATTTGAATATTAGGTGACGTGTAGAGACAGTATTCGAAGCAGAGATTTATTTAGCTTTGGTTCGGACTGAAATTTGAGTTTTCCTCATTGTACTTATAGGTCGAAAGCACCAATGTCGGCCACACCCGTTTTCTTGGAAGAGTCGAATCAGGCTTTCAAGGAATCAAAAACATGGTTTTTAAGTAAAACCAAGGCTCACGACGTGAGACGTAGATGGTCACGTCGTGAGAGGCGATTAAATGAATGAATTGTATATATATTGAGCTCACGATATGAGCAATAATAGCTTACGACGTGAGGATCATTGCAGCCCAACCCACGAACTTCTACGGTTTCCTACGTATTTGAGCCCCTTAACTCAGTTTTAGGCTTTATTTCTCAGCCTCCACCTCCCTCCAACTCAGAAAACCCTAACCCTCATCCATCTTGGTGGTTTTGGATCCATCTTGTGTTTTAGTGGCTAGAAGAAAAATAAAAAGAAGAAGATGTTATAGAGTATTGGTCCAGCAAGGAGGCTTCATCATCGTCATCTTGTGCACATTCTGGACCTTTGTAAGTGTCAAAAGATTCAACCTTTATGAGTTTAAGTTACTAGATCTAGGTTCTTTTCCCTTTTCCTTCATGGTTGTGAAAGTTTGCATGGAGGAGATTCATGCAAGTCATTGGGGCTTTATTGCTAAAAAAATTAAAGCTTAATCGTAAATAAGATCGGAATGTAGGGATTTCAGTGAAGATATTAATTGCCACATAAAATTGATGAACGGATGTTCACCGAATAACCGATTAATTACTTGTATTTGAATACAATTGTAACTATTTTGAGTTTTATCGTTAAAAAGGTAAACAAGACTTAAGGATAAAGGAGATTAGAATGGAAATCTTTAATAAAAGTTTTCCATAAAATAGTCATCTAAAAAAAAGGAAATAGTGTTCCGAAAAATAGATATAATAATAATAATAATAATAATAATAATAATAATAATACAGAATGGTCCTACAAAATCCGTGGTGGAAATAGTCCTAATTTCACCAATTCTCAATTAAATAAAGTCAAATGTAACAAAAGGTCAAACACAAAGACATGCATATAATGGTGAAGCTACCTAAAACACTCAAGCTGTATTTAATGGTCTTTTTTATTATTTGGAAAGTTGCAACCACCCCACCTCACCAAATTTATTAAACTTTTAAAAAAAATAAAAAATATTATTTTAATTTATTTATTCTATCAATATTATCGACAACAGTATAGTTTTACTTGAAATAATATCCGCCGTTTTTTTTTCTTAAAAAAAAAATAAGGTTTAAAAAAGACCACCTATTTTTTAGAATAGGTTATTATTTTTATTCTACAAAATATAATAATTTTTTTTATACATAACAATTGATGTTTAAAATATTATATTGTACAACTTTATAATGCATAAATTCTTGTATATATGACAAAAACTGTTGTGTACGAATCACTTGCTTTCATAAAATATTTGAAACAAACCGGTTGATGATGAACCGTTTTTTTTTTTTTTTCTTATATGTTTTTCATGTGTTAATTAAGCAAAAAGTTAGCATGATTTTCACATATTATTCTAGTTGGTAAAACATTTGGGATAAATTGAACATTTATATAGATCCATACTCATTTCCCAAGATCAACTAGATGGTTCATCATCATATAATGGTGTAAGCAAGACAAAGAAGATTGTCTGCAATAACTAATGTTTAAAAAACCGATTCGAATAGGCGGATTTGATCGAAAACTAGGGACGAGAGCGATTTAATAATGATCGGTTTTATGTCAGTTTCTAGATAGAATAAAACCTGATAGTTTCTTCAAAAACCGGATTAAGCTGGTATGATAAAACCTGTAAAAGATCAATCAGATGATTCATCACCATATAATGTTGTGAAATATTCTGTTAATGTTATATGAACAACTGTATAATTTAAATCTATGTATAAGATTATCAAAAATATCATATAGAGGAGGTTGGGAAACCTTGCGGAGCCTTTAAAATATTGGAGTTTAAAAGTCAAAACTGTAATTTGAATTTTAGTTGTAAAATGATGTGGGGATGGAAAATGTTGAAATAATTTTGTTTATTAAGAAAGCAAGTTGATTAATTTAATTTAAAATAAAATGTTATGCAAAAAGGTTACAAGAATGAATTCTAAACAAACACGTGTCAGTTGACTATGAATTTCATGGTTATTATGGCACGTATATTTTACGCTAATCGAGTAATTGTGATAATCTATTGTCTAAATAATGAATTTCTCTTTTGACATTTTAATATCAAAAACCAGAAAATTCTATAGTTTCTCCATCCACGCGCCTGTCTAATGAAACTACTATATATACCCTTGAAAATAACCTAATTACAATATAGTCCTTTTTTTAAAATTCTTCCTTTTTCCAACTTTTTTTTCTATGTCCAACATTCAATAGTTTGTTGTTTCCTCAAATTTGTAGAGTCTTGGTTATGTTATTATAGTTATCAATAGAAAAGAGTTGTCGAGCTTACCTTCAGAGATTATAATAGACAATAAAAAGTTAAAATTTTAAAGTAAACATGAAATATATAATTATATTTATCGAGAAATAGCATGCTAACCACATAACAAATAAAGTTCATAGAACCATTTTATGGCTTACTAATAAAAAAATGTTTAAGACATGGTTTATACACATTCTTTAAGAAAAGACAATATTACATGTGTTGTGTATGTACATAGGATCAACATGTTTTTACATGGTTGCATTATCATCAATGATTTTGGATCAATAGTTTGTCAGCTCTAATGAAGACTAATTCAATGCCCTTTTAATATTTTCTTTTTTGGGTTTCACATTCCTTAGTAAACCCACAAAGAGTTCAAAAAAAGAGGATAAATGTTAGCCTCTTGTGACATTCTACATAAGAATGAGGATAAGCATATGGGAAAGTATATAGGCTAGAATATACAAGCAAAGGTTCATAAGTTAATGGTTGGTTGAGATATCCAAAGTGTTTTTTTTACTTCCATCCTATTTGAGGTGAAAGACCCAAGTTTTTTTAAAAAGCACGGTGATTTATCAACCACATATATCATCATATTGCAACTTGTTTGGGTCGTAAAATAACATGTTGCAACTTCCTTGATACTATGCCCCACATCACGTGGGTATCACTTGAATATGGATCCACCCGAAAAGCTTAAGAATCGACTCGATTTTTTTTTTTTTTTATGGTCCTATCAAATTAGAAATACATAAACAACGTATCATTTACTCCTTTTGACCAAGTACTCAATATTATGAATTCCAATATGCCTTTTTGATACCAACAATCTTTGGACCTAATCCTCGATAAGATATGTTACATGAATCGAAAAAGTTAAATCAAGAATAATAAAAATCCAATTAGTTTAGTTTGAAAGGAAATAAAAAAGAACTTCAAATGTGATTTCATCATAATCTAGGCATCTAAGTGATATTTTTGAAAAATATAAAAAGAGAGATTCCACCATCACAATCAAACTATGACTTTCACACCTATTGTCCAATCAACAAAGCCGAAAGTGTGTATCGTGTAGGTGTTTAGATTTTTAAAGTCATAGTCAAGTTTTTGGAATGGAATTAATTACACATAGGATAACATATGCTAAATAATTTGTTTAATCTAAAACACTTTCTTCACCAAATAATGCTCATCCAAAGTCTGAACTTGAGTGTTCTTAGCATTTGATAGCTAGACAATATGTTTAAGGTTAATATCGTTTTCTTGGAGGGTTTTGTTTGAAGGGTTATATAGTTGGTTCATGATATGTCGATATATATATATATTTTTTGTCTAAAAGCATATGCGGAAGTGACATACACGCTCCACAATTGCGAGTGGGATTTAAAATAGAGTAAAAACCTTTAACCAACTTTGAGTTTACTCAAAACTCAGACCCATACGCATAGTCAACGCTCTCTCGTACACACAGAGTAGTGAATGAAAAGGTGAGCAGACAGAATTTAATTTTGTTTTTATGATTTCAGTATCCTCCACCCTCTTAAAGTCAACGCCTTCTCTATCATCCATCCACCTTCTTTCATCTCTGCTCTCTCCATATCCCTCTATATCTTCAACAAAGAATCTCTCCTCTCTATCTTTTGACTTTCAGAATTCAGAGGAATAAAACAAGATTTCTGTCGACAAATATGATCTGATCGGTGGGTCTCATGAATTAGCTGTTGATTTTGTTCTTCAATTTGATTTAGCTTACTACATCTCGTAGTCGGTGCCGGAAAATTCAATCATGGGAAACGGAGTTGGGAAACTGACTGTTTGTTTCACCGGAACGGATGTTGTTCAGCGGCGGAAAGACACCGCGGTTGTGATTTCTGATCCATTAGATGATTTGGGGCACTCGTTTTGCTATGTTAGACCTGAGCCAACTCGCGTATCATCTTCGAAAGTGCACTGTTCTGAGGAAACGACAACATTCCGAACAATCTCCGGCGCTTCCGTCTCCGCCAATACATCAACCCCACTTTCGACATCTCTGATCGATCTATACTCGTACAACTCCATCGATAAAGCTTCTGCTTTCGAGAGCTCCACATCATTTGCGTCGATTCCTCTCCAACCTTTGCCCAGAAGCTCGATATATTCCGGTCCGTTGCCGTCGGGTCCGGTTCCTTATTCGGGTCCTATCGATAGAGGCTTCCTTTCGGGGCCGATTGAGCGTGGGTTCTTATCGGGTCCTCTTTTTTCGGGTCCTCTCGAAAAGGGTAGTCACGAGCAGTTCCAAAGAAGCTATTCTCAGGGAGGGTTTGCCTATAAACGTAGATCAAGAAAAAGGTCGTTGATTCGGGTCATCCAGAGAGCGATTTCAAAGACGTTTGTAACCCGCGGGCAAAACTCGATTGTTGCCCCGATTAATAAAAGCGTGGGTTCTCTAAAGGTTCCAGATTGGATTGTTGGGGCTTCGGAGAAAAACAATGAATTGACTATTAGCAGTGTTAATTTGAGCAGTGAAGGTAGTTTTCTTGACGATTACGAGTTCATAAATCAGAGCCAGAATCTTCAATGGGCGCAAGGGAAAGCTGGGGAAGATCGAGTACACGTCGTCGTTTCGGAAGAACACGGGTGGGTTTTTGTTGGGATTTATGATGGATTTAATGGTCCTGATGCACCTGATTATCTGTTATCAAATCTGTACCCAGCTGTTCATAAGGAATTGAAAGGTTTGTTATGGGATGATGAGCTTGATTCCACGAATTTAACTCCTTCAGGGCAACAACCATTAGATGATACCAAATCCCAGGTCGAAAATCAACCTCAACAAAATAACCATCAAAGATATGTTGATCAGCAAGAGAGTTACCCCTGCGCAACCGAGGATTTTGAGAGAAGAAGAAACAAAAATTCAAGAGTTAGGAGCCGAGGGGCTTCAAAGAAATGGGAGGATAACCACCGGAGATGGAAGTGTGAATTCGACAGGGAGAGATTAGAATTGGATCGGAGATTAAAAGAGCAATTGAATTCAAATGGGTCGAATTCAATCAACCATTCAGATGTTCTGAAAGCTCTATCTCAGGGATTAAAGAACACAGAAGACGCATATTTTCAGATTGCAGACCAAATGCTCGTTGAAAATCCTGAACTAGCTCTAATGGGTTCATGTCTCCTCGTTATGTTAATGAAAGAGGAAGATGTCTACGTGATGAATGTAGGAGACAGCAGGGCAGTTTTAGCCCAAAAACCAGAGCCAGATCTCTGGAGACAAGATCTCGAGAGAATTAAGGAGGAAACGCTGTATGATCTTGAGGTCTCTGATGCCGATTTAGCCACTTCAAATCCAACCCTAAATGCCTGCCAGCTCACAATGGATCACAGTACCTCCATTGAAGAGGTAAAAACAAAAACCCTGTTTTCAAATCAATTCATTCTTCTTCTAAACTCATTCTTTTCTCACTCTTAAAACTTTTTCAGGAAGTTCAAAGAATAAAGAACGAACACCCTGATGATTCATGTGCAGTGATGAATGATCGAGTCAAGGGTTCACTCAAGGTCACTCGAGCTTTTGGTGCAGGCTTTCTTAAACAGGTAACTAACTAACTATCATCAAGATTGAATCTTGAATTCAACTTTTTTAGTTTGAAAACATCAAGGGATTATAATTTGTGTCGTTTCTTGATTTTTTTGCAGCCTAAATGGAACAATGCGCTTTTAGAGATGTTTAGGATCGATTATGTTGGCAATGCTCCATACATAAACTGTCTCCCGAGTCTTTATCATCACAAATTAGGCCCACGAGACAGGTTCTTGATATTATCTTCAGATGGGCTTTATCAATACTTCACAAATGAGGAGGCAGTTTCGGAAGTCGAAATGTTCATTCAATGGTCACCGGAAGGAGATCCAGCTCAGCATCTTATCGAAGAAGTTTTGCTTCGTGCCGCCAAGAAAGCCGGTAAAAATCCCAATCTTTTTTATCCGGTTTATACTGTTAAACTGTTAATCAGTAGTCCCTCCATGTTTGACCTAACTGTAATGATGTGAGAATCTATGACTGACGACTGACGTACCTCATGTTAGTTGTGATGGGACTGGTTTGATAGTTTTATCTTTTTCATGTTGATTGTGGACCTGTTGATAGGGGGCGCAAGTGACATTTACATTTTTTTTTTACGGTTAATCACTAATTTTTGTTTATGTAGGTATGGATTTTCATGAGTTGTTGGAAATACCGCAAGGGGATCGAAGGCGTTACCATGATGATGTTTCAATTATTGTGATTTCACTTGAAGGAAGGATATGGAGATCTTGCGTGTGAGGAGTTGAGGAGACAAGAACAAAAGGAATTATGAGCCGAAAGGGTGAATGATTTTTTGATTTTTTTTTCTTTGTTTTTTTTTTTTTTTTTTTTTTTTTTTTTTTTTTTTTTTGTTTTGATCTTGGTCACCTTGTAGTAACATGGCAATGAAGTTCAAGAACTTTAAAAGAGACTTGATTGTGGAATGTAACTTGGGTGGTTAGGCTTTTTTGTAAAGGTGTGAAAACTTTACTCCATGTTTATTAGTATAAATTTGTCATATAAAAATCACCAATCTTCTTAATAAATGACATAAAAGTTTTGAGAATAATGCTTCTTGAGTTTCACGTTGTATATATTTTTGACATGTATTAGAATATTGTGTATTTTGTTAATGTTATTGACTAACTTAAAGTGAAAAATACTTCAAGCAAAAAATCCAATTAGAGTTTGGATTGATTGCTTACTACAAGCATGTCAAAGAGTTAATTCAAAGGCAAGAAACCTTAAAAGAATAGATATATATTTATAGGCACATGTTAATTAGCTTTATGGCTAATTGTTAGGTTGCTAGGTATGAGTCAAGAATGTTGCGAAAAGAGTGAGATGGTGATGGCTGTAAAATTTTAAAATTTAAGACTATATTCTTAAATTAATAAAATAAATAAATGAAATGTGATTTATAATTTAAATCATCAAGGAATAATCATATCATTATTTGATATGAAGTTTAGAAAGTTAGAAGTGAAAGAAGTGAAAATAATAACATTTCAGAAGTTAAAGGCGCAAAAGTGTTAAATTGGCAAAAATGAGTTGACCAAAGGGTTGACTCAATTAATGGAAGGGACTACCAAAGTTATAAAATGGATAAGGATGGAATTATTATGCCAAAAATCAAGTTAAAATCACAAATATTAAGGTGTGGTAGCTTTTGGCTAAATAAGCAAAGTTGAGGGACTAAATGTGAAAAGTGGGGAAATAAGATGCACACACTCCCCACATTCTCTTTAAATCGTGAATTGCAAGAAAAAAAGTCAATGTAACATCCCGATTCTCAAGTATGTGATTTATTGTTCAAAGATAAATTTCCCTTGGAACTTGTCGAGTTGATGGCCTCCACTCGACGTGTTGAAAAGCTTTAGGTCGCACATCTTTTTGGACCAACTCGACGAGTTGGCGACTGTTTGTGAAACCCTAAATTTTAAGGTTTGCACCTTATATAACCTCCTTAAGTCCTTGAGGCTAATCTTTTATCACCCCCCAAACCCTAATATCGGCCTTGTGAACATTAATCTTCATTCCATCTCTTATTGTGAGTTAGTGTGGCATTTTGGAGCAAAAGAAGGAGAAGTTTGAGATAAGGATGCAAGGATCAAGCAAGCAAAGCTCTTATCTTCTGTTTGGCACTCTTTTGGACCATTTTAAGTATTCAAGATCCGATTTTTATCTATCTATGTAGCTAGAACTTGAGTTTTGTCCACTTTTCTCCTTATTCTTAGATGTTGCATGGATAGACTTCATAAAGTTTGCAACTTTATGAATCTTCATGTCAAAGTGACCTTAGAGTGGGTTAGATCTGGTCCTTTGCCAAGTTTTGATGTCATGCATGGAGTTTAGGTCATATTTTTTTTTTACCCATTTTTGGTTCAAGACATGCATGTCTATAAAACACCCAACTTTGGGACGTTTTTTAGACTAGAATCCCTTCTGGAAAAGTTGGGTTCCATATCTCAAGGATTTTTGTGCTTAATGGTTAAGACTTTGAGTTTTCAAGCCTTGTGGAAGGGTATTTGAGCATTTGGAGTAGCCCCAAAGGATAAAGTTGGAAACTTTATCCTTTAGACACATATGGAGTTTGGATCTGAGCCTTGGAGTCTCTGGAATCGAAGAATTAGTTGTATGTGTTAAGTTGGTGAAAACTCGGCGAGTTGTCCAGCCAACTCGGCGAGTTGGTTAGGGTTTTCCCCGACTTTCTGAGTTCTGTTGAACTCAATGAGTCCAAGAGGTGCACTCGACGAGTTGGGTCAACATGGACTGTTGACCTTGATCGTTGACTTTGACTTTGACCATGGTTGACCAAGTTGGATTTTTGGGGGGCATTTTAGGTATTTCGGGTTTTGATGGGTTTTGGTCATGATGGTTGAGACATTGATTCAAGAGCTGAGATTTGGAGTCAGACCTTTCCAGTTTTGCACTACTAGTGATGTGAGTTGTCCTCGCTATACTTACGAGTCGAACGCACCAATGTCTACTTATTGGATTGATATCCTGTTATTTATGCTATTGTATTGTTATGATCTATTAGATCGGTATCCTAGTAGACAGGAAGTTGCTATGCTTAGTGATTTGTAGATCTGCGTGGATGATGTAGACTATTATATGATTATATGTTACATGTGCACATGAATTGTTAGTGGCTGAGGCTTCACTTCATTGTGCATAAGCCAATAGGCCGAGGCATTCCAACCCGATGGTTGAGGGCCTGGGGTATTCCATCCATAGGATGATTGGACCCATAGTATATTGACATTCCAACCCGATGGTTGAGGGGCCTGGGGTATTCCAACCCGATGGTTGATTGGGCCCAAAGTATGTTGTTATTATAGCTGTGCTATTTGTTATGTATTGGTATTTTGGAGGAACTCACTAAGCTTTGGGCTTACAGTTTGTATTATGTTTCAGGTACCTTAGTGGATCGCGGGAAGGTGAAGGCGTGATCGTGCACCTCCTCATGTGTTGATTCTACGATTTTGGGATTTCTCTGATGTGAAACTTATTTTGAAAAAAAATTGTAATAAATGATGGTTTTGTGGTTGTTTAAAAAGTTTAAAATTTTCATGAATTTTTCAAATGTTACAAGTTGGTATCAGAGCCTTGGTTTGATTGAAATAGAGGAACACTCGTGTGAATCCAGTCTCAAACTAAGGAAAAGATTTTCAAAATGATTTTCAAAATACTCAAGGAGGATGTTATGTGTACGATCAGTCGGAGCCAGTAACTAGACCCCAAAATACCATAATATTGGTTGATATTATGATATGTTAGAACAACATGCTAGTGATAGGATAGGGATCTTCAGGAATTGCATGATAGAATTGTCTGATTATATGATGCCTGGTAGCCTAGGACCTATCTTTTTTGGAATTGACATCATTATTGTAGTTGCTTAGTGTATGCACCATGGTTATATATAACTAAGATCTTTTAACCTGAGAATGTTTGGTTTGGCCTTATTTCTTGTACTTGTTTGATGAAGGGCTTAGGGTAGGATCAGATATTTGAATGTCTAACACGAGTGTTGCAGGGTTGGTGGAAGTTTCATGGATGAGTCGTGTGGGGTCAGCCGGCCAGTCGTGAGATGTTTAGCCTTTCCTCTAGGGAGTGAGGATTGAGTTTCCGTCTTCGCTTATGAGTATTGTTAGGGCGTTGTGATGATCATTGAGACAAATGCGGGTATGTGTCGAAGGTAGTATGGGCCCGTACTACTGAAAGCACAAGACCCGTACGTGTATCAAGGAAGTCACAACCCTTAGGGTTTCGTTGGGAGTTGGTTCCCTATTATGATATGTGGTTTATCTGATATCTTCCTGGTGTATTTTTAGTATGGTGACTACAAGGCAAGTTAAGAATCCAGGTCGGGATCGGGAGCTGGTAGTCAGGGTGGGCTAGCATTGAGGACCGCATCAGGGAGATCATCCGCGAGAAGGTTGTTGCTATTGTCCTGGGTCAGATCCCGGAGATGTTCGGGTCTATCAAGACCGTGATTATGGAGTTATTTGATGATTTCTATGCAGCCATTGTTGAGACGACTGCTGCTGCATCCTCCGCAGCCGTAGCGGCTGCAGGTGTTGGGACAGGGTTGGTTTTCAGTATCGGGACTTCGATAATACAAAGCCCCCAAATTTTGATGGAGTCCAGGACCTGATCATAGCCATGAGGTAGCTATTTGATGTGGAGGGATGCTTTTTCACTTGTTAATGCCCTGTTTACCAGAAGGTCAGGTGTGCTCTGAACCTTCTGAGGTCCGAAGCGAAGCATTGGTGGAGGCTCGCTACTAGTTCCTATTTTGTTGAGCAGAGAGCTGCTGTGTCATGGGATCAATTTTGTGAGATGTACCACTCCCGATATGTTCCGTTGGTGGAGTGTGAGAGGTTAGCACAGGAGTATCTGGATTTGAGATAGCGTTCTGAGACGGTGATGGAGATCACCAAGATGTTTACGAAGAGAGCTATGTTCTACCCTGAGTTTGCTGCATCTGAGCAGGCTCAAATGACCCATTACTTGAGCATGCTCAAGACGGAGATCGGGCAGTTTGTTTCTAGTCAACGCTATAGTTCATTTTTGGAGATACAGGAGGCCGCCAGGCGGCATGAGATTGAGATTCAGTTGTAGACTCGGGAGTTGAGACCACCCCCGGCGCAGTCGCAGCCTACGCCAAAGCGGTTCAGGGCCGCTGACTCCAGGTCAGGGAGTCAGAGGGTTCACACTTGCGGGAAGTGCGGCAAGGTACATGAGGGTGTTTGTTGATCTTCTTCAGGTTGCCACAAATGTGGAAAGCAGGGCCATATTGCGAGGGATTGTTGACAACAAACTCCGGCTTCTGGCATCAGACTTTGTTACCAGTGTGATCAGGTGAGCCATATGAAGGCCCAATGTCCCTTGTTGGTTGCCAAGCCGGTGTAGGCTCCAACACTGGCTACTTTGAGGATCACTTACGCGAGTCAGGTCAGGGGGATCCCCCGAGGGCTCGAGGTCGCGCTTTCCAACTTACGGCCGAGGAGGCCAGGGCAGCACCAAATGTTGTGAGTGGTATGTCTCTATCCTTTATCTTATTGATTATGTCTTTTTATGCTTATATGTTTGTACCTCTGTTAGGTACGTTCTTAGTGAACTCATTGCCTGCTCTTGTATTTTTTGACTCGGGTGCGAGTCGGTCCTTTGTCTCTCGGTCTTTTAGTAGGGAATGTGCTTTGCCCATAGGGGAGTTGGAGTGTCCGTTGCGAGTATCTATCACTAACGAACACGGGGTTTCTGCTACTTTGGTTTATCAGGGTTGTATTCTGGAGATCTTTAGAGTATCCTTTCAGATCGATTTGATTCCTATCCTATGGGGGATGTCTGCATGATAGTGGGTATGGATTGGCTAAGTCGTTTCAGTGTCATG